GTAAACCCATAAATTGGGCCGGCTATTCAACTACTGTTTTAAAGAAAAAGTTTCTGAACATAACAGGTTTACCATGCATGGTTAGTGTGCACTGCGCAAAATTCTCATGATCGGATTTTCACGTACAAATAGCATTATTTATAATACCATCATTTTAAATTACTGAAATAAAAAAAGTGTGTGACGCAAAATAAATAACTTAATTTATATACTAATTTATTATTTAATTTCAAAGGTTTTTACATATTAAGTTTGAAACCAAAATTTTTAAAAACAAATAGGTAATTTAATTGACTTTTTGTTATTCTAGAACTAATTTTTTATCAATCTACAATCAAATGTTTTCGAAAAAATGACACAAAGGAAGATACATTTACTGTAGTACTTTTTTTCGAAAAATAGTAAAAGGTGCATTCTTGAAGAAAAATGTCAAACTTTCAGAGGATTACGTGCAAGACGTCCTTTTTTTAATGATCTGGATTTTAGATAATCCTTTTTTTTTTTTTTTTTGCCCTAAAGTCTAGAAACGGCTGCGAAAACTAAATCAGATTTTCTTTGCTTTATTGTTTGAGATGAAAATCGATTAAAATTGTCCACTAAAAAACGCATTTTTCAATCCGTATTTCTTAAGAGCTCGGATTGATGCCCCATTTAGTTTAAGAATTACATTTTATGAATAAGCAAATTACATGGTATTAATTATTGTCACCCTCAATGCAAGCAAAAAATAATCTTTTTGAATTTGTACGCTAAAAAGTAATATATTATTTTTTTTAATGAAAAGCTAAGTTCTTATAGTATAAAGATATGAATTATTTAAAAAGAAAAAATAAACAAACTTGCAAGCTCTATTATTTAACGGCATCTCTGATCTAGTTCTTCAAGTCATGCTATTTTACATATTATAGCCGTCGTTGAACAGCCGACCCAATTTTTGAGTTATGACTACTAATATTTTACTCCGTAGCCTTGTAATTTTGAACCCAATCCGGAAGACAGGGGTCAAATATTGGGAGAAATTTCATTTCGGGGAGGAATGGAGTACTTTTTTGATGGAACTAACCCGCATTTGCGTTACTTAGAGAGGAAAACCTCCCACGGTTAGCTTGACGGCAAGAGGATTATAACCCATGATCCGTCTACCACTGAGGATATTTTACGCCTGTACTGTGGTCGGTGCGAGCCGGGTGTAATCTATCAGTAACTATAGATTTCAAGCAAACTTAACCAGCTTGTAATCCTTAATTTTTATGACCACCACAAATGCAAAATATTTTTTTTTATCTCGCTCGTTTAGCAGACAATCTATATTTGATTTACGGCTAATCAATGTTCAACTTGCCTGGCGTACAATTTCGAACCTATCCCAGAAGACAGTGAAACACCTGGATCAAATATTTAGATAAACTCACTTTCATAGAGTACTTGAGTTAGTAAAACTTATCCACATTTGCGTGAGATGGAGATGCAAAACTCAAATATTTCCCATTAGCAAAACGGTATGGAGATTCTTCTTGCTGAACACTTGATGAGATTCCTCGTGATGAACACATGATTTCACCTCCTCTATCACTTGGGATGTTTTTCGTCAGCATTGAAAGATGAGATTGAACATTGAACGGTGATGTACAAATTTATCATAAATCGAAGCGATAGCAAGAATGAAGATAATTATTTTTAACTTTTTGTCACTCTCTGGGGCAGTGTTATAATATCTATAGAATATAGTGTTAGAATATAGAATTAGAATATTTATCGTCTAGAATACGACTATCATTTTTGAGATAACTTATCTGAATTAAAAAGTTGCCATTTGATAGTGTTTCTTTTGCAGTCTGTGAAGAATTCTGTCAAATATTATAGAAGTTCATATTCACGGTACAGTACATATTATCGATAAAGTAAACATTCAGATTTTCAGTATAATGAACGTATTTCATTTACAATTAAAAACGTTTACGTCCTTGTAGTTTATTTTATATGTCATGATAATCAATAACATTGCTCTTTGGTTGATGACTTTGTGCCATTTTTTGGTCACACATAACACACATGAATCCAAATTTTAGCATAAGGTCTTTCATAGCTGTTCAACTCATTTTATTTGAGCTAGATATTTTGCTTCTTTCCATATCTTGGCTATTTTCAATATATTTGTAAACTCCCTTCGCCAAGTAATTTTAGGTCTTCCTATTTTTTTATTGCTCTGAAGGTTCCAATCAAATACGTGTTTTACTTTAAACTTCTCTGGCTTATGCAAAACATAACCAATATATTTCCATTTGCGTTTTTTAATTTCCAGTTTAATTGGTATCTGCTTTGCTTTTCTAAGGATTTCAGCTCTACAAATTTCAGGGAACCACTTGATACGCAAAATTCTTTTTAAACTGTTGTTAATAAATACTTGACATTTTTTCATGTTATTTTTATTGCAGTGCTATGTCACCAATCCATAGAGTAGGTCAGATTTAACATTGAAAATTCTACATTTTGCTGAATTAGTTATATTTTTGTTTTTCCAGAAATCATGGAGAACAGCATAAGTGCTTTGAGCTTTGTCTAATCTATTTAGTTTTAACTTCATCAATTCCTCCTTTGTTGTTTATTATACTTTCAAAATACGCAAAACTGTTTACCTCTTTTAATTTGTTATTTTTGAAGGCTATGTCATTTAATTGTTTTGGATTAATTTTCAAAATTTTAGCTTTATTTTGGGGCCGTCCGAACTGTGAAGTTGTCAGAGAGTTGACCTCACATCAGAAAGTTCCTGGGTTTGAATTGCGGACAAGGCATAGATGTTATTTCATTCTTTGTCCTTACTGTACGAGTAGCGTTAGTCCAGCTACTGCAGCGGCTGAAAGGGGCTTTTCAGCAATGAACTTACAAAAAAACACATTACTTACTGGTCTTAAACAAGAAGTGTTAAACGCATTTATGAACATCTACCTAAATGGAAAACCTCTTTCATATTTCTGTGCAGAAACCTCTGTAAATCATTGGCTTGATTGTGGAACTGGCAAAAGTCATATTTGATTCATTTAAAAAACGCAGTACAATCGTGTAAATTGACATGATAATTGACAGATAACTTAACCTTTGTTATTTAAATTATTTCATCAAAGAAATAAATTATTTCATAATAGAAATACTAGGTTTTACTCTTAGTAACCTAGTATTTCTTTTATTACTGTATAATGTAATCCTAGTATTTGTAATCCCAGTAACTACTAATTCATTGTGCAATTTATATAAATGTTTGTCATAAATAAGAGAAAATTATATTTTTATTTATTTAGAAGCGACGGGTTAGTTTCAAAGGAGGACGGGTAAAATTTCTGAGTTTCTTCGAGCCCTGGTGTGAACAATTTTTTCACTTCACAATATCAGTAAAAGAAATAGCCTGATTCAACGATTAAACACAAAGATTATGCATATTGCTGCACTATGTTCTTTTTCAGTATTTTAGCAAGCTGGGATGTATGCTACTCTGGGAGAAAGCGTACAGATGCCAATGAGACTTACCAGTTTTTACAATGAGAGTTACCAACACCAGTTCCAAAAATTGGCAATTTATTGGATATCGTCGAATTGTCTAATTTTGTCTGGTACATGAAAAACCAAATTAAAAAAAACAGATTCCACTTCCAAACAAAGTTCTTAATAATTTGTTTGAGTCTGATTTTTAGCGTTAAATTTTGAGTAGCAATGTAATTGGTAATAATAATTGAACTAATAATACTATTAAAATTAATAATAGAATTAGTAAAAAGGAAAACAATAACATATCATGTCTCTTCGTAATTAAGATATATATTCCGTGTGCTAGAATCATGTTTTAGTTGATTTTAATAAAGCTTTAAATTACATATTCCAAAGTTACTCTAACAAAGGCGGTGACTCTGTGGCAACAAAACATTTTTTTTTTAAAATTTTCCTAGCCATTCAGAGTAAAGTTTTATCTACCACATGGTAAAAAATAGACTGCCTTGAAACTTTATTCGATTAAGAAGTGAAAATGTAATAAATAAATTTTATTTAAAACAAAACAGTACACACAAATCAAATACTTTATTACTATTATGATTTATATTCAGTTATTAAATTTCGTATTAAATTTTTCTTACATCGTACCTTGATAAAGCAGATATAAATATTGATTGGTATAATTCTGAAAGTAGTAACTAGATGGCAGTATAAGTTTTTATTTTGTAAATAAAACACGTGGTTTCTGCAAATGTATTAACTCTCATTCGTTTTACTTCAGATCTCTAGATTTCTATTTATTCAGAGAGAAAAATTTTCTCTCGAATCTATTAAATATTGACTTCATGGTAATAACTTCACGAATGAAAATGTTGACTAGAAAACAAAAAATGAAAACGATTAAGATGAATGAACAAATAATATAAAAAAATTATGTATGCATAGATAACCGTCGTTGAACAGCAGACCTACTTTAGAGTTTACTATCCATGAAATCTGTAGCCTTTGTAATTTTGAATCCAATCCAAAAGACAAGAGAACTCCAGGATCAAGTATTGGGAGAAATTTTGATTTCATGGAGGACTTTTTGATGGAGCCAACCCACATTTGCGGTACACGGAGAGGAAAACCGTGAAAACCTCCCACGGTTAAATAACGTACATTTTTTATGCATGCATATATAACTATCGTTGAACAGCGGACCCAATTTTGAATTTACGACTGCCCAAGAACTTTGTAATTTTGAATCCAATCCAGAAGACAAGAGAACTGCAGGATCAAGTATTGGGAGAAATTTTGACTTCGTGGAGGATCGGCCATCGCGACAAATAATTTTGAATTTTCATAATGTTGTGTGAACTCATCATGAAATGTTGTGGTTTCATTACATATTTCTGAATATTCACAAGTTAAAGTCATCGGGTTAGTAATATTACGAGCAAGAGCAAAATCAGTGAACATTTTAAAGCTAAAGGTTAGTTTCTAAAGGTTAGCAACCATGTATGGAGTAAAGTGGTACTCCTCTACTAGCATTAGATACATAAGCATACAAAGCATTGAAATCCTGAGTTAAATAAGAATTGTAACGCAAAGTTATATGCTTTCGGAAATGGAGCAACTTTTTCGAGAATAAGAACTGATCATAACCATGATCCTTTGACTGAGCGTGTGTTGCACAGAAAGATTCTGTCAAATCATATTAAAATGGAAAGTAAAAAAATTCACGAAAAGCCTGCCAAGCTAATTTTTTCAGCCATGGAGACACTGCCAAGTGCTGCTGACGTCCTAACAAGATGTGATTTAAAATTAATAAGAAATAACATTCCTAACTCCAGATTATCAGTGTTGCCAAAAATGCCAAAAGATTTACTCGAAGCACAAGATGTCCTGCAGAAAATAAATGTTAGCACTGTTAAAGGAGACACATTTTTATTGAAAAACGTGAAAGATGCAGGTATAGTTATGTTTTCCTGCCTTTCAAATCTGCAATGCATGTGTAAATGTGAAGTAATACTCGTGGATGAAACTTTTGATGCAGCTCCGAAATTTTTTATTCAAATGTTTACTGTCCACGGGTATTACAAAGAGAATTACATACCGTTTGTGTTTTGCTTACTAAAAGACAAACGAAAGGACAGTTATGCCCAGTCTGAGTGTGATAAAAGAGGGTTACGATTTTCTCCCAAAACCATCGTGTCTGATTTTGAGAGAGGGATACAAGAAAGCATAAGAGCAGGGCCGCCTCGAAAGAAGGAGGAGTTCCTCCTTCTTTCGAGGCGGCCCTGATAAAAGACACTTTTCCTGGAACTAAAATTATCGGCTGTCGCTTTCATTTAGCTCAAGCATGGTAAGTGTATATTTATTTATTTAGTTTACATTATATACATTAATTTCAAAGTTTGTCCAATACGCTTAAAATGAGCCGCGATGGCTCCGGGGATAGAGCGTTTGCCTTCCATTAAGGCGAACCGGGTTCGAATCCCAGCGGATACGAATTCCGCATCCGGTTTGCACTGACCATCGCGCTGACGTGAAATATCCTCAGTGGTAGACGGATCAGGGGTTAGAGTCCCCTTGCCTTCAGGCTAACCGAGGAAGGTTCTCGTGGTCTTCCTCTCTATGTAACGCAAATGCGTGTTAGCTCCATCAAAACGTCCTCCACGAAGGCAAATCTCTCCCAATATTCGATCCAGGAGTTCCCTTGTCTTCTGGATTGGCTTCAAAATTTCAAGGCTACGGAGTTGAACATTAATAGTCGTAAACCCAAAAATTGGGTCGGCTGTTCAACGACGGTTATAAAATACCTTTAAAATATGCCCAATAAATTAATGTGCAAAACAATTAATAAACAATTAATAAACTAATTAATAACATAATTGTGAACTTCTTCTGAGTTAGGAAAAATATATTTTTTCAAATAATTAAGGAGGAAGAACACTAATGCTTCATTATTTCATATCAATCGGATTTTAGTTTAATTTACATTGATTTTAAATGATTTTCAAATCAAACATATTGATACCATATATCGATATCAATCATACATTGCATAATTTCTGTTTACAGTTTCCATAAGCTTTTGTTCACTTTGCATTTTTACTAAAACTTTGAATATTCGAGAAAAGTCAGGATGACTGTGTTCAACAAAAATACCCTAATAGCAAAAATATGATTATGGCTAATATATTAAATAGTTTATTTTCACATTTATTCTGATATATATATAGTTTATATTAGTATATTCCAGTAATTTTTAAGTGAAAATACTAAGTGCAGAAGCTAAAGCACAATCTATGGCATAAAGAAGTTAATTAAACAAATAGTTATAAGCTTTTACTCTGATTTTCACCACCCAGTTTACTTATGACTTTGTTGAAAAAACCAGAGGTAGATTTCTTGCTTTTTTTTTAAATAAATAAATAATACAAATATCCCAAAAATCGTAGAAAAATTACATTCCTCGATAAAATAAGCAATGAAAATGAAATATCGTTATGATATATATGACAAATTGGAGTGCACAACAAACCCTAAGTAACATTTTAAGTCTTAAAAAAACTGATTTGTTGAACTGTTTAATTTTAATGAGCTACAAATTGCAAAAATCATAATAAACACTTGTCCCTCTTTCATATTTAGCACACATTAACACTTTTAAAATGAATTATTATTATTTCAATGTAGTATTAAGTTTAAAACATCTACTTAAAAATAATTTAGTGCATGCTCTTTAATTTGTATTTGCATTTTTTAACATTGCACTTTTTTTATTTGTTTATTATTTATTTCAAATTCATAATACTACAAGAGTGATCTTTTTCAGGTGGAGAAAAATACAACAATTAGGTCTTAGTAGGCACTACAAAGAGCGAGATTCTCCGACTGGAAGATGGTTGCGCTATTGTTTTGGTCTTGCATATTTAAGCCCAGAAGATGTCGAAGTGGCATTTTTTTTATTAATTGGGAATCAGATTTCAGAAGCGATGGAATTTGCTGATTATTTAGCAAAAAACTACATCGACGATCGACGTAGATGAAAACACGCCGTATCCTCCTTCCACGTGGGCAGCTGACTCTTCTGATCTGTGGCGGACAACTAATTCTTTTGAGAGTTTTCACAGCAGGTTTAGTTCATTTTTTGGAGCAACAAACCCTAACATCTTTATTTTTGTCAAAAACCTTAATTTAATACAAAGTGATACCTATATTAGAATAAACACCGCCGAGGCTAGTGGACCTCGAAAAATAACAAAAAAAGAACTGTTTATTAACGAAAAAATTGCCGAGTTTAAAAATGGAAAAATAGGATATTTTGATTTTTTAAATGCAGTGTCATATAAAACAAAAACAATTTAAAGAAAAATTTGAACAACAATAGTTAAAATATATTAAAGTTAAAAAAAAAAATTGAAGAAAAATTTGAACAAAAGTAGTTATAATATATTAAAGTAATAAACTAAGGTTCTATTGATTCTACTTGAATTGAAGCATTTGCCTTAAAAACAAAATAGATATTTTTTTAATAAATATTAATTATTTGAATTTTTTGAAGAAGATAAAGTTTTCAGAATTTTTTAATACCATTCTGTGAATCATTTTAAAATCAGTAAATTATTTAATTTCTATAATGCCATTGCTATTTCATATTATAATTGTAACTTGAAAACTTATATATATATTGTATTTTTTTATATTTTTGAAATATTATTTATTCGTTTTTTGTTTCTTCAAAAAGTAAGAATAGTTATGTTAAAAAAACAACTTTGCCAAAATAGTCACGAATACAAATATGTCAATATGTTTGTTTTTACGTTTTTACTAGGATTTGTATATATTATTTGCTTTTACATGTCTGTATTTATTTTGTATATATTTTTGTTATCTCTTATTATCTCTCTTTTTTTCCTTAATAAATGTTATTTGGATATTATTTAGTATTCATTTTCAAAATTATCAAAGCACTACACATCAGTTTTCAGAATCAGAATTTTCATCAAAAATACTTAACTGTCATTAAATAAAATTTTTATTTAATATCACTTAAATTTTTGACTGAAAATAATTTTATTTTCTTCTTTATTAATCTAGTTAATTGTCCTAAAATACATTTTATTTGTATGCACATTGATTTTAAATTATATTTCTATCAATGAAAAGTAATTTTCATTTTGTTTTGTCTTTTCATTTATAAATTATATTTTTCGCAATTTAAATTTTATATATATATATATTTGATGCAGCTCCGAAATTTTTTNTATAATTTAAATTTTCATTTCAATATTAAACATTTCATTTGATTTTTAAGAATTTAAAATAAAGGAGAGAAAGCGTTATAAATAAATACCAAAAACTTTCTTTGAATTAAATTTCGTTAAACTCACATGTCTGAATTCCATTCAATGTTCGCTAATAAAAGTTACGAAGAATCATTGTAATCCAACGAAACCATTAAAGCAAAACTTAATGTAAGTGATCAATGTTAGTCAATGATTGTGTTAGGTTTGGATAATGATAATTTTCAAATTTAATGAAGAGAGTCTATTTTTAAATCGCCTCTAAGGTATTTTTCTATTAGCCCTTGGAAGAGTAGAACTGACTTGTTAACGGCATTATGGCTATTATTCTTTAATGTCTTTTAATTTTTTTTTCATTAAGAAATTCCATTATCTTTGCCCAGGAATAAATTTATAAAATAAAAAGATGTACAGAACGTTTTATTCTGAATAACTTTTGATCTTAAAATCAAAAAATTCTGAACTAAGATGCAATATTCCTAACATAACGAAAGATATTCTATGTAACAGTGAAGATGATAATTTAAGTTTCAAAACGGCACACAAACATGACAAGTACGATAAATTTGGAACCGTCTTAAACAATTTTAGTACTATTTTAATATGTTTTATCTCGCTTTTAGAACAAATTATTATAAACCAAATATTCTCTGCATTTATTAATAAAATTCACTCATTCGAGGATGAAATCTTATAAAAATTCGAGGATGAAATCTTATAAAAAATAATAAATAAGCAAATAAAATAAATAAATAAGAATTAACAAAAAAATTTTTTTTTAATATTTTTACATTTTAAAAAGATGATGATATCGTATGTGGCAAAGATACCATTTTAATAATTTCAATCTTAGTGTTTGTCCATTAAAAATTACGCATTTTTATACATTCTAAAATGCATGCTTTACAATGAAAAACTGTTAAAAATACTTTCACCATAAACTTGTTTTAGAGTAAATAGGCGCAAACCACTTTGGAGAAATCCTCAAAATTGAAAAATAATATTTAGAGGTTCACATTTTTAATATGTCTTCTAATTAAACCAAAACTTATCAGCTATTCTGACATAAAGAAAGATCTTAATATAAATCTGTCCAATTCTGCCCCATTTAAACAGATTTATTTAACATTTCTCAATATAATATTTATTTATTTATTACTTATTTATTATATGTGCTTGTAAAAAAAAAACTTTGATTCTAAATTATGAAAATAAGATTCTATCAATATCATACTTTCGTAAGGAATCGGATGAATTAAGAAAGAAAAAAAGAAAGGAAGGAGAGAATGTTGAGAAAGAATATCTTTTGGCGAAAAACAGCCAATTTTGTAGCTACCCTTTTAAGTCCCTTTGAAATGAACTTCCTACTTTCTTTCCCCTCCCGTGACGAATTTTGGTAAGGAGGAGAGTTCGATAATTGATGTCACTGATTGAAGGGGGTAGAAAATTTTGCGCAGTTCAGGTCGACCTTGTTCTTCTGCCTTTTTCGAATTTCTCCGATGACTTCTGGCAAACAAATGGTCGTGTACCATTCAGAATTGACCGTCCTGCGTTGCTCTAACGGAGAGAGCAACCTCGCAAAGTTGAAGGAAAGCCCTCCCTCATTAGACATGGATATCAACCAATTAGACATGGATGCCACGTGCCATTGACCACAACCGGCCAGGGGGTCTACCTTTCTGCGTGTAAAATGTCTTGTGCCTACGTGTGCCTCGACGGACTCCTCGGACGGGGTCATTAAATCTATCACTCCTTATCTCCCCATCTGCTGACCAGACGAGTGGTCCTCTCGCCGTTCAAACCCCCTTCCTCTAGTGTCCACCATGTAAAAGGGGGCGACCACAAACGATTTGTAGCTAACAAATAATCAATTTGTAATTGTGGGATATCTATTTCACTGAGGAAAGCAAAAGCAGCCTGCTCTCAGCCTAACGCTACTGTTGCCACATGACCGTTAATGCCGAAGAAACAGGCAATCATTTGTTTCGATGTGCTTCTTCCTCGAACAACTTTTGTTGGTTTTGCCTCGTCTTGGAAGACCCATACAGTTGATTGCTGTTTTGTTTCCGGCTCATATGCATAGATCCATGATTCGTCACCTGTGTAGATGTTATACACAGCCTTTGATGTACCTTGAACGTATTTTTCCAACATTTCCTTGCACCAAT